TCTGGCGAGTAAACTAAAAAATGTACTAGCCAATGGCGATTCAATTGCCAAGGTGTTCGTAGAGGGCTGTTACAAATGATTATTGTACTATTACCAATACATCTTTATGCTAATACATTTTCTCGTTTTATTTCTTTTAATTTGGGGGTAAAATTTGTCGTGTTTTCATACATACGCCCAATTGTCCATCAGAAAATGCCTCAAGTGTGCCGCATCCAAATTGTCTTCACTTATATAAGCCATATATTACTGTTATTGTTGGGGAGGGGGACATCATATTTTGGTCCTAGAAATACATTTTACATACACCTTTACAAAATGTATTTCCTTTTTAATTTTGGGGAAACATTTGACGTTTGCTTTTCCATCAGAAATACCTTAAATGTTTCTTTTAAGTCCTCCTCAGAGAAGGATCTCGGGATCATGACAAAGATTCTGGTGAGCTCCTCATCCTCCACATCTCGGTGGCTGCCAGAAGATCTGGACTGAGCGATGAAGACCTAGACGAGCACCAAACGCTTAACGTACACCCAGCACTGAGAGCTGATGAGAGTGTAATTGTGACTGAATCGGGTGTTGCATTAAAATACCTTGATGGGTTTGGCTCCTTCGGCCAGGCATCTGCCGTGCATCTCCTCCATCGCAGTGCAGGCTTGCGACGATTTGGCGAATTTCACAAACGACACTCCTTTCGACTCTTTCGTCTGCTTGTCTTTCACCACCCAAATGTCCTGAATCTCCCCGAAAGCTGCGAAATGCTCCCGTATGATCTCTTCTGTTATGGTTTTACTTGTAACGAGAAACAGCCGACTGTTTGCTGGCTCGTCCAAATGTGAAGAGACTCGGTTAGATTCGTCCATAGCAACAGTTATATTACTAATTTATTAGGCTTTTAGCCAGCAAGCAACTGTGTGTGAAAACTGTACGTTTTGACAAATTGACCTGATAAGCCCAAATATACCAGACAAATATAATGTGTGCGGACACGGTCAAAATGCAATTATTCGGATATCTAAACAGCACACGTGAACAACACAGCCGAATGCACGCGCAGAAACGCATTTCATAATAAAAGACGAGTTCTTTTTAGGCACATGCAGGGGTTTAGTTCTTCTTCTTATTATTCGTTTTTTTTATTGGCGGCTCGCAATCACCAATTGAGCATTACCGCCATCTACTGAAGCAATGGACCAGAGACTTGAATTCCCTTTTCCCAGACCTATCAGAACTCGAGCTTTCGATGTTGCTGCGTGTTCAGCGCCCAAGTCCCTCTCAGCCCAGAGAATAGGAATAACAAAAGTAATCCTTTTATTGAATGATTATCCTGTTGACCTTTTAAGCTTGCCCAATACGTCAAAATAAATTGTTTCCTTCTTAGATGAGCTGGCATTTCCCCCATCTCCACCTGTAACGCTGGAACTGGGGAGGAAGGACAAGCTCCACAACAAATTCTCAAAGCTTGTGATTGTATTCTTTCTAATTTTTCTAACTGCGACTTAGCAGCTGAACCATATACCATACATCCATAGTCTAATATTGCTCTAATCATTGTTGAATAAATGATTTTTAATGCCAATCTGTCAGCTCCCCACTCACGTCCAGAAATACACCTCATTACATTTTCCCTCCATCTTACTTATGTGATTATTCCATGTAACCTCTGCATCAAACCACATACCTAAAAATCGTATCACTTTAACTTGTTCTAACTCTTTATTATATAATTTCAACTTTAAATCTATACTTCTCCTTTTATTTGTAAAGAATAAAGAATAAATATATTTAGTTTTATCTACAGAAAATGTAAAACCCCATTTATAAGACCATTTTTCAACATTTATTAAAACTGTTTGCATTTTATTAACAATATACTCAACATTCCTACCTCTAAGCCACAAAGCTCCATCATCTGCAAACAAAGATTTATTTATATTTTCCCCTATTGTTGCAAAAACATCATTAATCATAATTATAAATAACAAAGGACTTATGACACTTCCTTGCGGAGTGCCATTCTCAATACTTCCCTCCCTTGAAATATAATCTCCAACCTTTACTTTAATATTTCTTTCAATTAAAAACTCTTTAATCCAATTATATATTCTTCCACCTATTCCTATTTGATCTAATTTAATTAGCAAACCCTCTTTCCATAACATATCATAAGCTTTCTCAACATCAAAGAAAACTGCTATTATTGTTTCTTTATTGATCAAAGCTTTCCTAATATCTGATTCTAATTTGATAATTGAATCCATTGTTCCTCTTCCACGTCTAAAACCACTTTGATATGGAGAGAAAAAGTTATTCTTCTCCATATTATACATCAACCGGTCAGTAATCATTTTTTCCATTAATTTACATAAATGTGAAGTTAATGCTATTGGTCTATAGTTTAGAGGATTACTTGGATCTTTACCCGGTTTCTTAATAGGGATAATTAACGCTTCTTTCCAACCCTGGGGTAAAACCCCTTCCTCCCATACCCTGTTATAAAATTCCAGAATTATACTCAATGATTCATCACTTAACTTTTTTAACATAACATAGCTAATTTCGTCTTGTCCTGGAGTTGAAGCCTTAGTGTTTTTCAATGCTCGCTTTAGCTCCGGAAATGAAAACGGAACATCTAATGGGATATTTGTAGCTCTCTTTATTTCCCTTATGTATGGATGTTCTATTAACAGCTTCTCTCTCATATCCTTACTTTCCTTCGTCAGGTTATCTGCACCCATGGTACAGCAGCAAAGTTCCTTTTGTTTGCTTCGTGTTTAACTCTAGAGGAGTTGGAAAATGAGCCTATTTTCAAAAATAGTGGTGTGTTCCTTTAAAGGGGTGTCTGTTTTTTTCACCTCCGTGCCCAAACGTCTTTATTTGGGCTTCCGAAAGCGAATGATGGCAGGAAACAGTGGTTGCGATTTATTTTTTAACTCTGTCCCTGAGCATTATAACCCCAATTTGCTATTGTGTGCTGCGCATTTT